GCATGCGACCTCATTAGGCTACACGCAACTAGCGCCATTCACAATCTAGGTCACCGTTACGTCTCGTAGGTCTTTGCCCATCGAAACCATTGGTGACGCCCACCGGCTCAAAGACACACAGTGAGCACCTGCTGCCAGCCTCGACGACGCCAGCGGCGCAGGTCGCGGGGCCTCTAATCCACCGCAATGACCTGTCGACCATTGGGGCCGAGGTGAGCCCAATCCCGTCTAGACGGACCGACTCACCTCCTACCGCAAACGCCGGGGCATCTTCCGGTAGGGGAAGATTGGCTTGTGCCCCGACCCCGAGGTTTACCAATCTTTTTCCGTTAGACGTTTGATTCTCATCCGAGCTTATGCATAAGCATTCGCCGGACTTCACTCCCACGTTCAAAGAGTTAGCTGCCCGTCCTAGCCGGGTAATCGAATTAAGGGTGTTACCCACTACCCGTTTCGGTTTTCCAACGGGTTACGTGCGAATGCGCCATTGGTGCAGCACAGGATACCTTTCGGATAGCTCCGAAATGACAGGGCTTTTCCCTCGTCTCTGTATGATGTCTCGTGTAATCATGGGCCGCCGAAGCGTCCTCATAATACGAGACTGTCGTTGGCAGGTGAACACTCTTTGGACGTTTAATCATCGGAGGCCGGGGGGTGCGGCCTCCTCATGCCCCCACCATGTCGACGACTATCGCATCATGAGAAGCCGCCAGTAGCTTCTTCATGCCGACGACAAGGTAATGTTCAACGGGCATTTCTAATCATTGAGAGGCCACGCTTCTCTCATATATGTTCAAGGTTCTGTCATCATTCCTTTACGCAAGAGGAGAAGGTACTCCCGCATGCCTTCAGGCTTTGAGACAAAAATTCGTTCGAGAGTGAGTGTTCACTAATCATCAAAGACCGTAGTCTCCTCATGCCAACGACGTAGACAAAGTACTAATCCCGGAGGGCTGTAGCCCTCTCATATTTAGAGGATTCTGTCATTATTCAATGTCCCCGAAGAGACTCAGAATCTCAAAAGCCGCTGCATTGCGTAGCAACACGAGTTGGCATCTGACTGGGTACCCCGGGATCGTCATTCCTGTACCGTAGGCGTGCCCGCAGAAGAGCAGGCACAGCGCTACGGCCCCTGGGGGAGATTGCTGCTGAGAATAAGAAGCACGTGGCGCGCCATTATTACTGCCTTCCACATGACCCCTCTCCACTGTCCAGAACATTGCAGACCCCTCACGCCGCCGACGGGCGTGCAATTTGAAAAGGCTCGCTTATATTTGATCCATCCTCATAGTTATTAAGTTACGAGTATATTGCTTTATAAAATGCTCACGAAATAATTAAATTATCTGATTTAAAAAAATATTCTTAGTAACATGATAATTCTAGCAAAGTTCTCTTTTATCTTACACTACATAATGTTGCTATCGTCATGGGAAATATTTTCCCAGCCGTAATGTGGAGTGGTTTATTCGAGCGAAGCATAATTAACAACAAGTTCTTTGCTGCCCTCGGTTCTGCAGTGTACCATGCATATTCATAAGTAGCACGGTATATTTTTTCTGACTGAAAAAATACGATTTAAATATAAGAAGCTATTAAACAATATTGATAAATATTCATCAATAATATAAATGTCGACTTTCGAAACCAATTCATGATAAATAAAATTTTTTTTTGCATTGAAAAATTATAATACATACGTTGAGCCATAAAAATAGATAAGTCATGCTATTTGAATGATCGTTAATGTCATTTTTATCTTATTCCACTTACTTGTATCACGAGAATTTCACCAACCGTACAATAGAGACACATATGCAACAAGTTATATGAAACTGCTGCTATATTCCAACCTAATTGTGTGAATGATAATTGTCCTCTTTGTTTAACAACCTAAATTGACACAAATACAAGTTATATGTCTCCTAAAAATGTATCCTTTAAAATTGATTGTGTGACATTGAAAAGTATTTGCAAATTTGGCTAAACAAAATTGTGAAATGACGACATTTTTCCGCGAGTTTTTTCTGCAATTTTTTTCTCAAATGGGTGCATGTCAAGACAATTTATTTAGATAAATACCATATCAAGGGAGGATAATCGTTTCGAAGGCTAAAAAATCAATTTGCATTTTATGAAAATTCTGTAAGGAATAAGTCATCGGATTGTTACGATGATTTACAAATGAAATGTGTTTGATAAACGAAATTTTATTCTTGAGTGAAAAGTCTAACCGTACTGGAAGCACACTAGTTTATATTGTTACGTCCTGGGTGTACCGGAAAATATGAATCTCTCTTTTTAATTATATGATTGGGAAACAGACGGATTTCGGGCTAGCGCTACTGTAACAAAGATAAGAGTACATTGGCCGCCGTTAAACGTACCGTATGGTTCCCCAGATGTTTTTCATTCATTCCGCTTTCATGTAAGGTATGTAGTTTATTTACATCCTAGGTACCCCGGGGACGATAGATTCGTTTTTTATATAACTAAGATATCTTGCCGCCTCTACGTTAGGCACGTATGTGTCCATACTGGGTACCTAAATAGCAACGGATTCCTCCTCTTATGATTATAAAACTAACAAATTTGATCAAGAGGTTTATGAAAAGATACGAGTACACGCCGCCTTATATCATAAGGCTCCAGATGGGGCTGCGATCTATCCACCCTTGTATACAGTCGGTAGAACAAGGGCCCTACTATGCGATTAGGTTCTTAGAATTGTTTATATTAATACTAGGAATTTTCCAGAGTAACCGTCTTCCACGCAACCTTCTCTCATTGGTGGACGTCATCCACCACCCCCTGAAATCCTTCCTATATAAGCCTTTTTGCCGCGAGCGCAGTTACAATAGTAGTTTTTCTTGCAGTCAGTAAGTCAGTGACAGTCACAGTCGCAGTTACAATAGTAGTTCTTTTGCAGTCAGTGACAGTCACAGTCGCAGTTACAATCACAATTCCAGTTGCAGTCCAGTCTAGTTCAGTTCAGTTTAGTTCAACCGCAATCCAGTCCAGTTCAAGTCCAGTGCAGTTCAGTCCAGTTCAGTTCAAGTATAGTTACAATTAGAGTTACAGTCGCAGTCACAGTTGCAGTTCTTAGTGTCAGTTCTTAGTTAATCAGTCTTAGTTCAGTCTTTAGCAGTCCACAACCATAGTCTAGTTCAGCCTTCGTCTTCGTCTTCATTCGTCTTCGTCAGTCTATTGATTCATCTAAATCGTAAGTCTCCATTTCATATTTAAACATGACTTTTAATAATTTCAATCCTATTTCCAATCCCACTTCATCCCTCAAAACACATACCTGCACTGCGTGATTATTGTTTTCATTGTATTATATAACGATGTTTTCCCATATCGCTATACCGATATGTTAAACATTCTTGTTGCGTTACATCCGATTGTATTAAATTAAGTTACACGAATTACCTTTCGCTTAATTTCACTTTAATCTTCATCTTGTATTTGCGTTATTCCAGTAATACTGATTTATAAAAATTTGTTTAATGTTAACCCACATATTTCATTGTTTAACTTTAGCTAACCCTTTCATCTTTTAAATGTTGCATCTTTTACAATGACTGTTCTTATCAATTTACCACTATTATTAATCCATCCGAGAACCAAATTATATTATTAATAAACTGTTTTATTCAAAATACCCTAAATTTAATCAAGTCGTTAAAACTATTTGTTCATCTCCTTTCAATTACCTAAACATAAATTCCCCTCTCAACACACTCATATGGTCCTATTCCAGGTAATGAGATTAAGTTTTTTGACCTAAATAAAGGACCACCTAACGTACGTTCTGTGATCGGAGTAAATGGGCCTCTCCGGACCTTGACCTGATCTGCAGACCTACCAGTACGTTTAGGACTCGCCAGTGCGCGAGTAAACAATTTTGTTGCGTTCGTCCTCTTCCAGGACGTAACAATATACTTACAACTTTAACATCTTCCGACGCTATGATGGCGACAGCCTGTCTAGCGACAGCTGCTACATACCGTTTTAAAAAGCGAATATTCACGAAAACTCTAGTGTGTAGGACATGTTCGTCAATGGCACGTACACAACGTGCCGAAACGCAAGATCCAAACAAAAAGGAAGCAAAACTTTCTTCTATCACGAATTAAGATGGACTAAGCTATATATTTTTCTATCTTTGGAACTAGCGGAATTACATATATAAATTTTTCATTTTATTTTTAGCGCAAAACTGTCGGTTTTTACGGTTATTTTGTAAATAAAATTTTTACGTAACTAAACATTATCGAGTAGATATTTATTTTTTTATAATCCTAATTTAAACGATAACCGAATATCTGATAGAATATCTGAATAGATGTATAATGTTATTCATTTTTGTTTTAGATCACTGAATATCCAGGTTTTCATGGGAGCCCTAAGACAATGCGTACTGGGACACGTCAAGAGAATATTTTTATAAACATTGTAATTTTAATTACTTTTACTTGCTAAAATCACTAATTATAGAAAAAAATAAGTATTATTAAATATATACATAGTTTACAATGAAATTCACACATAGTTTTCGAAGAAAAAGTAGTTTTTTACGTAACCTTCATAACAATGATCTCCCCTTAACTATGTCATCTCATGCACGAATATTTATATCTTACATTAACTATAAGAAATCCTTCAAAGCAGAATATTATACCAAAGTAAAGTATATACACAAGCAGCATTAAATCGAAAGTATCGTCGATGATTTGAATAGATCTGTAATGGTAGTGGCCCCTTAAAAAATATTATAACTTTCGTATAAGTGAAAGAAAAAAATATTGACGATGCAAATCAATACACGGAAGTCAGTGCATAAACTAAGAAAGTAAAAAAAAGTAAACGAAAACAGAATTAAGTTAATTTTCTACCATAAATAATGGCATACTTTTGTATATTTAAGTACTACAACAATTTCTGTTTAGAAATGATTTAGTTTTGTTTAGTTTATCTTGGCGATATGTCATAAATACCTAATCAAGCGTATGTGATCTTGAACGTTATATTTCAAAACTGCATCGAAGTTTGGGTATTTTTCCATATGTGCCAATCGCAAATGCAGATTCTCTAGTTGACCGCACACGTGTATAACTAATAATCCGAGGAAATTGTCGACCGCGGAATAAGCGATAGCCGTTGTAATCGACCCCACTCCTTGTGCCAGAAACGTTAACTCAAACTGTGGACTCTTGGACACGTCATGCAAGTAATACGATTGGAAAGGTAAGGGTTTTCCAGGGTCTGTCAGGTTCGTCACTTGCCTGACCGTCAGTCCAAACCATGGAAAAACAATGCTAATTATTAGTGACAATAGCATAATGAACATTCCGCATATAGCAATCCTACGAGTGATCGCGGCATAAATCAGCATAACGTCTCGCTCCACTTTTATTTTCGCCTTTATCCAATCGTTTTTAATCATATCAATTAAAGGTGCTAAAGCTATAAGAAAGAGTGACGCGTTAGTATTTTACTAACTAGATTAGTATTTTACTTGCTAGGTGAATACTTTCATGTATATTATTAATCGTATAAAAAAAGTAAAATATTGGTATATAATGGCATGCCTTGCCATTATATACCAATAGCTCGTTGCTACTAGTAGTTATACGCTACAACTGTAATTACAATAAAAACTAAAAGTACTATTTACAGGAAAATATTCTGCTACACAATATATACCTTCTTGTTTGTACCATATGATGCAGATTTTGCACATAGTCATTAACAGAGGTAGACTATATTGCAAATTATCTATCATTAATTTCATATCACCCCATATCCTTATTAATGATGCTAAAACTGGTATCGTCAATATGCAAAGCCATATGATAAATGTGTACAGCAATCGGAGTTTCGAGCCTACGATCTCACGGGAGTCTCGGTTATCAGGCGGCCACAAACCGATAATTTTCAACATTAGGCGATTTAAACAGATTGCCCATTCTAAATCTGATGTTAGAAATTTGTGTTTGAGTTATATTTTGGGAGCTATAAAAAACTACAATTACATACATCGTTTGTATAGAAGAACAATAATACATCAATGGAAAAGCGAAAAATGTACGTAATATTCAAACGCATTTGAGTTTTTCGGTTTTACCGAATAAAAGGTATGAAACCATTTAAAAATTATGCCTTTTCATAACATTCATAAACATAAAATAACACTGAAAATAATTAATAATTCTCGTAACGTTGCATAAAATACAAATCACTTTTTTTTTCATATTCAATTTTCACAAACGATTTATTTTGATTAAATTTTTACGATTGCAATTTTTTTAACTTTATACGAGCGCACTTGAAAATTTATTGGAATAAAAATGCATATGATATTAATCATGATATAATATTTTTAAACAGTAAAATGGCTGATTTGAATAAATAAATGTGAATTGTGGCAATTACAAAGAGTACCATTATATCTGCTCGAACGAACCATGTCTAAGTTTAAAAGTTTAAAAGCACTGTATCTTACCATTGACGGGAAATTATCCTCACTTTTGCGACTAATCATTATCACATATTCTTCGACGGAGTTTTTAAATGGCTAAAATTCTATAGCATCGACATAAATATTTCTGTAAATAGAATGAATATGACGCACAATACGGAAAAATATTATCGTCTTGTTGACGTGCTCCACTGGATATAAGGCTGAGTAAATAAGTTATGATCGCGTGAGCGAACAACATGAGAACTGTCCACCATTTTCAAAAGTTGTTCTGCTGCTTCGTTGTTTAGTATTCTTTTGTTTTTTCCACAATACACTTGTACATAATGGATTGTGATCACGTAGGTACATATTATTTTAAGTGACTATACAAAACGAGCTAAGGACACTTAAAAATTTAAGAAGAAGCTTGGAACGTCCGCATCTTGTTAATAATTTTTGCAGCTCTAAAAAGTTTGTCCATTGGAAAAATGTTGCCATCAGATGTTTAAAACATTTGAGTTACATTATTAATTTGTCTTTAATTGCAGATATGTATTCAGTGGACAGTTGAAATAAAATAACGTAACGAGAAAGACGAAGTCAACATTACTTGTGATGATTTTTATTGTAATACGACTTCAATCCAAAATGTGCAAGGATATCGGCTTTTCTGCTGAATTAAAGACAATAGAGTCAGAAGAAATTTTCGTTTGATACTTACATTTGAGAAAGTTTGAATATGTGGCAGCTTATTATATATTAAAGTATATTTAAGATATATTTAAGATATATTTAAGATATATTTAAGAAGACTTAACATCATATGAATAACGGTATATTTTGATTTGTATATCGTTCTCTCTTAAATCATACATTTCGTAATGCTGTGTTGTCATCCTTATAATATGATCACGCCTATATCAATGTTACGATCCACTGACTACATAATAGTGTTGCGCAATATTTGACGTTACAGGAATTGATATTATAATAACGCCGCAATGTGAAAATATTAATATTATGATTATTTTTTAGGGGATTGCATTAATTCGTAGCGCTTTTTTACTTGGAATATTTATTATTTTCATAATATGTTACAATCGGACATCAATCAATCAAAGTAATCCCCACGGCTTTCAACTACTTTTTGCCATCTTTCTGATAAAAACTGGATCCCTTGTCGAAAGAAGGATTTTTCTTTTGAGGCGATCCAATTATCGACCCATTTTTAGAGTTCGTCGAGATTGTTGAAGTGCGTATCTTCCAGAGCGTATTGCATAAAATGGACAGGCGAAAATCGGAAGGAGCAAGATCAGGAAAATACGCTGTGTGCGGAAAAACTTCTCATTCCAGGTCTATCAGACTTTCTTTAACCGTTCTTGTCACGTGCGATTTAACGTTATCATGTTGAAGAATCACTTTCTGTCTATTATTGACTATTGACGGTTTTTTGTGCATTAATTCGTCATTCAATCGTTCCAGCATTGAAGTGTGACATTAACCGTTTCATAGGAGTTTAGAAGTTCATGATACACTACACCTTCCATATTTCATCAAATGCATAGCAATACCTTCTTTCCGTGAATATTCCTCTTTGGTGTTGATGTTGAAGATTGACCGGGGTCTACCCATGACTTCCTCCGTTTTGAATTTTCGTAATAGATCCCTTTTTCGTCTCCACGATCCCTTTTTCGTCTACACCTTCCTTACCTTGAATTTCAATATCACGTTCTTTGAAACGTTGTATCCATTTACTACATGTTCTTTCCGAAAGAGCAACTTCGCTATAAGTGTCCAGAAGAAATTGATAAGCTCCAGCTTCACTTTTTTTTAAGTCAAAGTAATGGAAAGCACATGTCGGAAAAACTCATTATCGCATTCCATATTCGTTTCGCTCTTTATCTGTACACAGAAACGAAACTTTATTGACTGGATATTGTTTACAAATGACGACATGTAACCACTAAAACCTAAGGATGACGGCATGGACTAAAGTAACATCTAGAGCTACTTGTTGACAGCGGCATGAATTAATGCAACCTCCTAATATTAAGCAAAAAGGTTTTATCTTATTAATTCTTTTTATTTACTGGAATTTATTTACAGTTGATGAAGTGTTGCTATACTGAAAAAAATATTTAATGAAACCAAACAAATTTCATTTGATTTTAGAAAATGATTTATTTGAATACTCCTAACTATATAATTAATTATATACTCCTAACTATATAATTAATTAATTAAAATTAATATATTTTCTTAATTAAAAGAAATGTCTCTTTTATGCAGAAAAATATTTTTTTTAATTGGGGAAATGTTTATTTGACTTAAAGAAACAAAATTTCAAGTACAAAAAAGAAGATATTAATAAAAAGAATATATTTTTTTAACACCAAAGAAATATTTTATAATGTCAAAAAAATACTTTCTAATATCAAAAAAATATTTTCTAATATCAAGGAAGTACTTTCTAATATCAAAGAATTATTTTTTAATGGCAAAAGATTTTTTTAACCACTAGCTAATTTTTTAACACGTTGACTGCCAACTACGAGATATCTCGTAGGTTGTTTAGTTGCCCAGGACACCAACTACTTAGTTAGTTATCTCGTCGCTTCATTACTTGATTAAATCAAATTGGCTTCTTAGACCAGAATCGTGAAAAGTTCCGTGGAAGTCAACGTGTTAAACCAAAGTTCCTATTTATATTACATTTTTGTTTTTTTTTAGAACTGAATGCGAATGAGACCTTAACTGCTTAGTTTAATTTAAATTGTACTTGAAAAATTTACTTTACTACTGCTGAGATTCGAACCTGAGACCTCTAGCTCTTGAGTCGTTTCCCTATTGTACCACTATCATTTTGATTGACGGACATTTGAATCGTGCATATAGTATACAATAACAAACGAAAACAAAAAATGGTTTTTTTTTTAGAAGAAAAATGCGTTCTTTAAGGCTCGGCTATCTCGCCGCAAAAAATCAGAGGGTAACAAAATGTTTAGAATAGCCTAGCCAAAGTGGAACGTGTTACCCTCTACTCCAGAGCTACTTAAATGATAACACGGATCACCGTGTGATAACGTACATGTAATATTTGCAATAATACATTGCAAATATCTCCCATAGTTCGGTGCAATGTTGACGTTTGACAATCGACGTTATCAAACGTTGAATATAAAACTGAAACGTGCATCAATAATGTGATTTCGAAGTCGAGCATGCCAGTGTTTCTCTTCCATTACGTATATACAGAGACTCTCCGTTCATCCGTGTGACACGTACATAGTTCGTGTTGTCACAAGGATAGACGAAGTACGCGTAGTTGAGGAGAAATAATGCTAGCAAGCCCGAATTCGAAACCATATCAACGGATCTTTATTCTTTAAAAATTAATGTATAAATGTCATTGCGCAGCTATTTTATGATATCATTATACTTGCACAATGACATTTATGTATATGCATTTCAATAATACAGGCCCTTATGTGCATTCTCTCCAGAGCTGAATCTCTGTCACTGACCGCTTTTCTGTGCAGACCGCTTTTATGACACATTCGTGTCAAAATTTTTCTCATTTTTATTACCTTTGTTTTTATGAAATATGCATAACAAAGATTTATTACACCTTTATTATTCTTGACATCTGAAAATATAGGGTAATTTGAGGAATAATTTGTGGTTAAACTATTAAAGATATAGAAATTTGGCTTGAAAACCTTTAATGTACGAAGATGGATCAAATATAAACGAGCCTTTGTAAATTGTGCGTCCATCGGCGGCGTAAGAAGTCTGCAACGTTTTGAACAGTGAAGGGGGGTCATGTGGAAGGCAGTAATAACGTTGGCGCGCCACGTGCTTCTTACTCTCAGCAGCAATCACAATGAGCGAGAAAGAGGTACATTCCGCAATTGCACAACGCAGTTGTTCTTAAGTTTCTCGTCAACGAAAATGTAAATGCTGCTGAAATTCGACGCTGTTTACTCCCACAGTTCGGGAAAAGAACACTTTCTTGGGCTCGGGTGAAGCAGTGGTGTAACGAATTTAAAAAAGGACGGGAGCGTGTTGAAAACATTGCCCACCCGCGCCGTCCCTGCACCAGCATCACAGCGCAGAACACCAAGGCTGTTCGAGAACTCATCGAAAGCGATCGGCACTTAACTGTTCTTGAAATCTCTCAGGAACTTCAGAGCAGCTTTGGAATTGTGCAATCAATCATTCGTAATGAGTTGGGATTTCGGAAAGTGTCGGCTTGTTGGGTTCCAAAGTTGCTGAATACAGAGCAGAAAACCGTGCAGTTTGAAATTTCTCGGAGGCTCCTAACGAAGTACGAGGGGGAAAGTGACGCTTTTTTGGAAAAAATCGTCACGTGCAATGAGACTTGGGTCCATCATTACATCCCTGAATCAAAGAGGGACAGTATGAAGTGGCGGAAGACTGGCGAGAGTGCACCGGTGAAAACGAAGACACGATTGTCTGCAGGGAAAGTCTTGGCCACAGTGTTCTGGGAGGCGTACTGTAGAGGCGTTCTGCTGGTCGATTTTCTTCAAGAACGTCGAACCATTAATGCTGCCTATTATTGTGATCTTCTTGAAGCCAAGTTCAAGCTGCCTATCGGTCAAAAAGGCGCGACATTCCGATCAGAAGTGTGTTGCTTCTTCGTAACAACGCTAGACCCCACACCGCAGCAGTAACACAACAAAAATTGACCGATGGGTGAAGCAGTGGTGTAACGAATTTAATGCACTGGGCTGTCCTAGAGCATCCACCCTACAGTCCAGACCTGTCACCATAAGACTTCCATATATTTGAGCCCTCACTCAAAAAAGCCTTGGTAGACAGTGCTTCACAACGAACGAGGAGGTGCAGCGGTACGTGTACAATTGGTTTAATACATATCCGCGAACTTTTTATGATACCGGGATTAAAAAATTACCAAACCGTTGGAGGAAGAATAAATAAGATGGGGGATTATGTAGAAAAATAAGAAAAATGTAAATTAGAATTGATTTTGAAAAATATATTGTTTTTTGCAAAAGGCTCGTTTATATTTGATCTACCCTCGTACATAGTTTACACTATATGAAACACTTTTTGTTTAAATGATTTGTGTCAAGATGGCGGCGCAGGAACTTTGTAAATGAGACTCCATTTTTGAAATGGGCCTTCGCGGTTGCATCAGTAGTGCCATATACTTTCACTGAGGACGAAAGCAAAATATGTTCATAATCGACATTAAATTTGCTAGAGAAGTATACACGTATATGTTAAAATATTGATTTGTGTAGAAATGGTGAACACTTGAATTCAAAGATTCAGATTTACCCTAAAATTTCAGTGAAAGACAATTTATAACAAACATTTTTAACCGATTTCTTTATCACAAATTTTTGCGTGTACTTCGCTAGAGAGTTTAGTTTAGTAGTTACTGTAAAAATTTCAAATGAATCGGACAAAATTTGATAAAGTTATCCTGCAAGTCATTTTGAAAACGTTGTTTCGAGAATAACGCGTTTAAAGTTTTGAATAACATTATTTTATATTTAACTATATAATTTTTTAATTGTACTTTTACTCTGAGATGCCAGCATCATATAGCTGTCCTTCCATGTGGAAATCTTCCTCCCATTCCGCTGTCCTGCAGGACGTGGAAACTCTTCGTGCATCCTTAACAGCATTGGTAAGCGAGCAGCCTTGACGCAGCGCGCGTCAGCTTCGACGCAGAAATTATAACAATTATGGCCGACGGTAATGTATATCATCTGCATAATGTCCATTAAACTTCATAATTCATCATTAAAGATACGATATTTGCGGCGATGTCGACCAGTTTTTTACCACTTCCAGACGTTTTTGGAGCGAGCGATTACACAACTGAATAGAAGTTGTTGTTCTGTGTAAAACCTCTTAATCAACAAATAAGTCATCACTGCTCAACTCTTCATATACCGGTGTCACGGCATCGAAAATTTCCTGCGAAAGTAGCGTATATATGGTGGTATTCATATAAACTGTTCGAAGCTTTCGCTTTCTGTTACGAGCATCACGAATCTGTGCCAAGCATTTATCATATTATTTCATCGAAAATTTGTGATAAAGAATTGCTCAAATGTCGTTCCGCATTTTTTCGATGGAATCCGGATTTTAACAAATGGCCAAGCCGTAATATACAGTAAGTTTGTCGATTAATGTGTTGGTTAGCTTGCCTTTCCCGCCAAGACTTTTCATGTTCTTTTTAAATTTCGGAGGCGAACATCCATACGCTTTTGCACATGGTTGACGCACTCTTTTTTTTTTAAACTAACATCGTTACAAGGTTTAATATCTAAAATTCCTTTAAAGGTTTTGCTGTCTCCATCAACAATATAATGTATATATTTAACATTATAAAAATCTTCGGAACGTGAAAACATTTTCATAACTGCTTCGATTTCCATTTTCCCAGCTGACCCCTTATGATTCGCTTGGTACTGATCCCCATGCGACTAAACCCATTGTATTATGCAATATCATTTTTCTTTCTCCAAATTTCGCAGGCCTTACAGTATTTCGATTTCAAAAGAACGTCGACAACTTTGCCAGTGTACCATCCGATGAGCGTGACTAATCCATAGAACAATGAAAATCCCCGC